TGCTTTTCTTTGCTACTTTGCTTTTCTTTGCTGCTTTGCTTTTCTGCCACTTTGTTATTCTTTGCCGTGTTGCTTTTCTTTACTTTTCTTTCTGCTTTGCTTTTCTTTGCTGTTTTGCTTTTCTTTGCTGCTTTGTTTTTCTTTTCTTTGCCGCTTTGCTTTCTTTGCTATTTTGCTTTCTTTGTAGTTTTGCTTGCTTCTTTTCTTATCTTTTTTTTTTAGATTTTTTTTTCTTTCGCACTTTTTTTTTTCTTTTTTTCATACTTTTTTTCTTTTTCGTATTTTTTTTTTTCGTTTTTAATTTTTTTTGTTCACTTTAGATTTTTCTTCTTTCGTTTTTTCTTCTATCTTTTTTTCCGTCTTTTTTTCTGTCCTTTTTTCTGTCTTTTCTTTCGTCTTCTTTTTTGTTTTTTCTTCTGTTTTTTCTTCTATTTTTCTTCTATTTTTTCTTCTATTTTTTCTTCTGTCTTTTCTTCTATCTTTTCTTCTATTTTTTCTCTGTTTTTCTTCTATCTTTTCTTCTGTTTTTTCTTCTATCTTTTTTTCTATCTTTTTTTCTGTCTTTTCTTCATTTTTTTCTTCTATCTTTTTTTCTTTTTTTCTTTCATCTTTTTTTTTTTTTTTTTTCTGTCTTTTCTTTCATTTTTTCTTTATCTTTTTTTTCTTTTTGTTTCTTTTGTTTTTACCTTTTTCCTTTTTTTGTCTTTTTTTTTTGTCTTTTCTTTCATTTATCAATTTTTTCTTTCACCTATTTATCTTTTTTTCTGCCTATTTTTCTTTTTTTTGCTTATTTGTTTTTTTTTTCTCTGTTTTTCTTTCGTTTCTTGTCTGTTCTTTTTTTTGCTCTTCTAATTTTTTTTGTCTATTTGTTCTTTTATTCTTTAGTTTTTTCTTGCGCTTTTCTCTTTTTTTTCCCTTCTGTTTTTTTTTCTTCTTTTGTTTTTCTTTCATTATTTGTTTTTTCATCTCTTCTTTTAGCTTTTTTTTTTTTTCTGTTTTTTTCATTTTTTTTCTTTATAAAACTAACAATTTTTTTTTCTTTAGCTTTAATTTCAGAATCGTCGCATTGTTATTAAAATCACTTTGCCGTTGTTAGCATCCTTCTTGGTGGTGAAGTTTCATTATTGGTATTGGTGTCTTTGTCGTTGGTATCATCTTCCTTGGTAGTAAAATTTCGTCATTGGTATTATCACCGTTGGTAAAGTTTTCATTGTTGGTGTCATTGTCTTTATGGTAAAGATTTGTTCGTTAGTAATGTTATTGCTGCCGTCATCTTTGTGGTGAAGTTTTGTTGTGGTGAAGTCAGACTTTTGATATAAAGTGGGTGATTTGGTATTTTTTTTTTGTTATACAACGATGTTCATTATGTAACGACATTTATTATACAATGATATTTATTATGCACCGATATTCATTATGCAATAACATTCATTGCATAATAATTTTTGTAAAAAAATTTTTTTTTTATATAAATTAAATAGATAAAAATAAAAAATTTGGTTTTTTTTTTTAATAAAGTTATATATTGCATATAATTGATCTTTTTTATATGTTATTTTTAATAAAATAAGAATAAAGTTATTAATAAAATAGAATTTTAAGCTATAAAATTTATATAGTAAATGTTTATAAAAACTAATAAATTTAGTTTAATTCGAAATAATTCGAAACATTTTAAAATATTCTAGTAAATTTTATTATAAAAAATTTTAGTTTATTGTTTTTTTATTTAGTATATTTCAAATTGGTAAACTCAAAATATTTTAAATTGTTTCAAATTGTTTCGAATTATTTCAAAATATTTTAAATTGGTTTTGAAATATATTGCATAATATTTCACAATATTTTTGCATAATATTCTGTAATTGATTATTGTGCAATATTGTATATCAATCGTAATTCTTGTACAATATTATGGGCTGTAATATCTTACGTAAGATTACGTTTATATATTTTGCTGATGTATTTCTTAATTTTTAAATAATTTTATTAAAATTTTTTTAATACTATATTTTTTTTCTTTTTTTAATTCTTAATCTTGCTATCTTTTTACCATTATATTTTATATTAGATTTTTTATATATATTGTAATATAGACAAAATTTTATTAGTAATTTTTAAACGAATTTTTATTAATATTTTTTTTAAATTTTATTATATATTTTATATTATTATTGTATATTTTATCATTTTATTAGTTTATTTATATAGTTTATACAGGCAAACCCCTCTATAGTCACCTTCTCTATAGTTACAAAATTGGTATAATTACAAATTTATTTTTACTAATTATTTATAACTATATAGAAAATACCCCTATATTAATCACATCTCTTTACAATCATAGTTTTTTGTATCCCAAAGGTGTAACTATAGAGAGGTTTGACTGTAGTCTATTTTATTTATTTTAGACATTTTTATAATAGTTTATTACATATTTTATTAGTATATTTTTTACAAAATTCTATTTAAAGCAATATTTGCTTTAATATTTAATTATTAGTCTGTTTAACATAACAGAGCCTGAACCAAGGCTATACAAGGATATACAAGCACAGATAGTACCCCAAAATATTGTAAATCGATGTATTAATAATTATTTAGCTTTATTATTAATTTTAAATATTATTGTATAATAATTTATATTAGTATTACATAGTGTTATTTCATAGTATTATCATAGTAATATATAGCATTATTATTATAGAATAGTACTATTTTAACTATTTTTAGCATTATTATTGTATAATAACTAGTATTTGTAGTCAATCCAAATTTATCGACTAGACTAAGTCAATATTTAAAAATCGGCTTAGCTAGCTAAACTGTAATCAATCATTCTAATTAGTTAATTAAAAGTATGTAATTTAAAATAGATATAATTAGTATATACGTATGTACTAGTATTTGTAGTCGATCATTATTTATTACTTAACTAAGTTAATATTTAAAACCAAACACAGGTCCAACATGAAATTTCAATAGCCTATCGGCTAGCCGATAGGTCTAAGAAAGATCATATATATCTTATAATATTTGTCTGATAGATACAATCTGATAGCTTACCGCTATTTGGCACGTATCTATAACCTATTGGCTTGGCGCATATCGACCACTTTCTGCGATGTATATACAAAATTTTGGCAAGAATATCGGCTTTAAAATATTGATACTATATTCTCTGATATTTATACGATATTCTAAATTTCTAAACAGTATATGCCAAGTATTGCAGAATATTGGCTCACTCATAGTTATATA